TCGACTTACGTCGTTTCGAGTTACGTCGTTCCCGATTATACGTCGTTTGTCAAAAAAGTATATGGAAAAATAAAAATCAAGTTTAAGTCATTTTATTCGACTTTACGTCTGTCCGCCACAAATATTGAAGTCGTAATATCACTAGAAAAGCATTTAAAGCACATAAAATCATATTAAAATATATACATTTACAAGTAGGCTATGTACTGTATTTACAGTACATGCATTCGTAAATTTAGATACTTTTTTTCTGTACTATAATAAAAACTAAAATTTATTTGTTTGTAATCTTAAAATAGATCCTTATTAACCATACATTATTAAAAATGCATTACTAAATAAAATACAGAACCGTATTGGCAATTTATGGTTTAGCCTAGTGACAAGTAGATTTGGAGACAAGTAAATTCGACTTACGTCGTTTTTCGACTTAAGTCGTTCTCCTGGAACCAATTAACGACGTAAGGCGAGGTATACCTGTAATAATAAATAAATAAAAATTATTAAAAATAGTTATGAAAATTAAATTAAACATAAAAATTATTTAAAACTGAAAATTATAAAATAATAATTAAAACTCTGGCTTTTACATCAAAACCAAAACTAAAATTAAAAATCAAATCAAATCAATTGAAAATTAAAACAATGTTTTTAAAAACCATTTAAAATTGAGTTATTTTGAAACTGTCGTCTTTTAATTATTCTTTACTTCACAACTGGGTGCATAGGTAGACACTAGGTATCTTTAACATTACTCTTAAGATCTTTAACATCACTGTGTAAGATATTCCTGAATAAAGAGTGATGTTAAAGGTGCCCAGTGTGTACCTATGAACCTAGTTGTGAAGTAAAGAATAAAACCATTTAAAAGTTGTTTTGAAATTTTCAACTTGTAAATCAAATTAATTTTAAATTTACATTATTTGTGTGCAGCAGTGACAGAACATTTTGCTTTTAATATATATGTGTATATGGGTTTGTTAGAACTGAGGGAATTACAGTGCCCAAGAAGTTAATCAAACTTCTAGAAATCAAGTCATTATTTAAAAGATAACTTCATACCTTGAATATCTGTACTGATTTTTCGTTCTGAGGTGCACTAAATTTTGTGTTTAAGGATATTTTCTTCAAATGTTCAAATTCAAAAATGGCAGAATTATAGGCTGAGAGTGATAACATGACACACAAATTTGATGCTTGCAATTATATCTTAACATCGTTTTTTTTTTACATAAGTGAAGAAATCAAAACTGACAAAGTTTTGGTTTTAATAACTTTAACATTTATTTAAAGTTATATTTAGAAACACAAACTAAAGTTTTGATAACAAAATCATTACCAAATGTCAGTCATTAAAAAATTCTCTCTTTTTCAATCTTTCAAACATTCAGAATTGCTTCATTGTAAAGTGAAAATTCTAAACAATCTAAATTTAAAAAAGGATAATGAAATAGAAAGAATACTTTATATAAAAAACCTATAGGGTATTTCTTATATTTTACATCAGCTTGGTATTTTTAAGTATTTTTGTAGATAGAAGTATATATTACATAACAACAGTTGTGCAATAATTGCATTAAGGGATTTTAATAATTGAAAGGAAGTTTGACAAATGCTTCATTGTAAAGTGAAAATTCTAAACAATCTAAATTTAAAAAAGGATAATGAAATAGAAAGAATACTTTATATAAAAAACCTATAGGGTATTTCTTATATTTTACATCAGCTTGGTATTTTTAAGTATTTTTGTAGATAGAAGTATATATTACATAACAACAGTTGTGCAATAATTGCATTAAGGGATTTTAATAATTGAAAGGAAGTTTGACAAATATCACTGATTTCAAATAAGTTGAGTAAAGTTATAATGAAATTTAAAGAATCTGATATAATAAAATTTAAAATTATAAATTATTTCTAAGAAAATAGTAAAAGCATTTTGCTGTATCTGTAGAAAAACATGAAATATGCAAAAAACAGAAGAATGTGTATATTATTATCAAAATATTTTAATAAAGAATATCTTTTAACAGAAATATATGAGTATATAAATTTTAATTATGTATACTTTTTATGTGAATTTTTTATTTAATTTGAACTTCCAAAATCTAAAACATATTTTTACAAGTTGCATGGATATGATTTGGCTATGTGTGTAATAATAATTTTGTTTCTTTGTAGTTTAATTGGATTTATTTTGTAACGTCAAAATTTATAGTATACAAAATGTTACAAAAATTTTTGTTTTTTAAGGTATTTTTCTCTTCAAGCAACAAGTTCATTAGGCTTTAGTGATCAAATTAGATGTGAGATAGAACAGAATATATGCCAAGCAGAAGGACCATCACCTGATTGTTTTTTAAAACCAGTAACAATCTTGATGCAGCATCTTGAGAAGGTTAGTATTTTTATTGTGGTTTAATTGTCAAATTTTAATTTATATTTTTAAATTGTTATAAGCTCTAAATGCATGATACATCATGTAAGTTTAGGCAATTTCTTAATTAAATTTGTTTATTTTGAAGTATTTGTTCTAAAATAGTTTTCTGAAATTATGAGTATTTCCAAATTGACTATGATTAAAATTATAAATTTTAGACATGCCAATTTTATTTTAAATATAGTTAATACCTAATATCTTTTATTTCTGCTAAATTTCATGTTTTGGTTGTGACTCATTATTAATAAGTTTTCATATTTTCATATTTTCTATTTTTATATCATTAAAGAAATAATCAAAATTTATAAAAACAATTATTATATTTTACTGCAGAATTTAGAAAACTAAACTATATAATATAAATATCACATTTGTATTACAATTACAAAATTTATAACACAGAAATTTGTTACTATTAGAAAGGTTAAATCTTTTAATTTGCAACAATTCTGAAATTTTCAATGAAAAAAATTCACTGAACCAATAATGCATTTTATTGATTTTCATTTTGTAACTATTGCAGCATGTAATTGATGAAAATACATGTTCATTCTAATAACAAGTGTTTTATCATAAATTTTATTGATACTAAATATTTTTTAAATAAATATCAATGCTGATCTACTTTATTTCATTAATTTTTTAAAAAACGCTTTTGTTAATATGAAATATAAATATAAAAATTTTAATCATTCTACTGTAAATAAGTCAAATAATGCCATATTTCTTAAGCTGCAATTTTATGATTTCTTAAAATTACTGTAATTATAAATGTAATTTAGAGTAGAAGTGTACAANCTTGGGGCTACCACCACATGGGATAGTACATTTATCCTACGATAGATGGTGTGAGAGTAGCCAAAGGTATAAGGTTGATCCTATATCACTTACGGGCACAGATTGTCTGAAATCTGTTCTCTTAGTTTCTGATTGCGAGATCCTATCTTAAATCGTTCATAGGAGGGCTGTAATATTCAGGCTTAATGAGGATTAAAGACTGTGTAGTTTCTATCCAAATGTCAGTTTCCCGACACCAGTTTATCTATTTTTCGTAACGCCGATAAACACGCGCGAAATTTATGCCGTAGATCTGATTCAGAGATTCGACGGGAGACATCTCTTAACAAAATGTAGAGTATTTAATATACAAAATAAACGATACTAATACAGAATAAGGAATAATCAAATAATTAAACACATTCAAGCAAAGAACGAATAATTAAATTAATCGAGACCGGAGGAAAATCTATTCTTAACCTATACCGGTGAGAAAGAGCTCACAGTTCATTTAAAATCATACGACTTGTTAAATTTGCTTTGTCGTCTTCTTGTCTTGGCAAGGGTACTTCATTTCGATCGTACTTGAGCTTCGGTTCAAGAGAGGGTAGGATAGGCACAATAATAAAGGTTATCTTCTACGTTCTCACTTAAGTTTAACCCTATATAATACGATCATGGGCGTTTGGAGCCTGTATGTGGAGTGCGGTCTCTTCGGATTTTCCGATGGACTCCTAAGGGCTTTGGCCTTAGAGAGCAAAAAAAGTGGAGCCTTGTCACTCTCGGATCTGCCGACGAACTCCCCGAATTCCGGCCCAGTTTCCGCTATATCTTCCCATTTACGACCAATCATCGTATTTGAATTTTCCCACGTGGACGAATGGGAAGGGGTAGAAATGAGGGGTAAACAGTTCCCATCGAAGCGAGATTTTTAGCAGATAAGGGAAAAACAGAGGATGTTCTAATTTCCGTGGAAGGAAGTGACTCTCCTAGCTGTTTTCCCACGCTAAAAAACGTTAGTTTTCTCACTCAAAACGAAAGAATATTTTATGACAAAATTTTACCCTTATTGTTAAATTATTAATTTAGACCCGGGCTATTCGGATCTCACACTGGCACGCATGTATACGAGCATTTTACGGTGTGTTCGATCGATTTCAAATTGTGAAGACCATTTCTCCCTCCAAAAAATCTCTCTATATATGCATTTGTGAACTGTTATTTATGATATTTGTAATAATTTTTGTTTAATCACTTTATTTCAACTTTTTTTGCTAATTATGTATTCGCTCGAACTTTGTTAAAACCTTAACTGTATCTCAAACAACAACCAAAGTTGTAGGAGGAAATGCGCCTATTTTACCAATCTAGGAATCCCCCTTTTCCAAATTTTAATATCAACTCAAAATAATTTAAAAAGACAAATTACAATAAAACAGTTTATTATCCAAACTATCAGAAATTTCAGAACATGCCAAGGAAGAGAGAAAGGAGCAATTAAATAATTAAAATTATAAAAAAATTTAAAAAAAATATATAAAAATGGGGGATATCACACTTCTGACAATTGCTGCAAGTGTGTGGGCTAGATTTGGAGAATCCATACTTCTCGCATGGACAACTGTATGTGGCCAGCTCATGCATTGGAAAACCTTCTGATTTATTCGTGTATGCACCAGATGGAAAAACAAAAAATATCGTGTATCCACAAGCACTCCAATAAATAAATAAATAGAATTGGAACGACACTTTGAAATGTTTTCCTGGTGGAAATGAATAATAATAATAAGTTTCAATAAAAATGTTAAAATGTAAATTGAATGTTATCATAACGAGTTTGCTTGAATTTCGTTTCTTCTGAGATTGCAGCAATGCATGATGGGTAAGGTAGTATTGTATATTTTAAGCCAACTTAAATGACAAAGTCAACTTAAGTAACACAATGTGAATGAAACTGACTTAAACATTGATTTGACTTAAGATGATCCATGTTTTCAAATTTAATTTGCTTTCCAAAACAAGCTAAAGTTGGTTTTTGATATCATAAAAGCCTTCTCCAAGGTCTATTCAAAATAAATGGCAGAAGTAACAAGAATGAGTAGTGCAAGAGCAAATGAGAAAAAACATATCTAAAATTGGACTTAAGGTGAAATTTATTTTATTTATTGTCAGACATTTGGAAGCATGGAACAAATTATGGCTACAGCACCTGTCTTTTCTTTTGCATGTCCATGCTTACCGTTCCAATGATTTTGTTTTTGAAAAGTGATAACCTTCTTTATTTGCATGTACATGCCACCTCAATAGAAGTTTAAATAACATAAACATAAGTTTTTGAGAATACATTCTTTATCACAATTCTTTCTATTAATAAAAACAAAACATTCAGAGAATAATGCTGATAATAAATGTTAGATTAAATAATAATTTCTAATTGATGCTTTAAATCAATTATTTATATTTTAAATTACTTAAAATAAATTAATCTATAATGATTTTTTAAATATGCAAAAATTTAATTGTATTTAAAATGTCATGTTGAGTATGATTGCTTTAGAGCTATATGAAATAAGTTACTTTAATTTTGTAGTGTGAATATTTAACTTTACTTTTGATGACGCAACTTAATTTAATTCTACTTAAATATTAATTATATTTAAAAGTTAGTGTGAATAAGATTTTATAATATTTATTTAGATTAAATTGATTTTAATATATAATAAAAATTATCGCAAGTTATTAAAAAAAATAATCAAAAATGCTTTGTTTTATAGATATATTTACCTCAGTTTCTAACAAGTCAGTTATATTTTAAATATCTCTCAGAATGTATTAATACTATTCAAAATGGTGGTGATCTTGTTAGTCAGCGCAAACGTTCTGGTAAGTTTTTAAATTTTTAATTCTATATAAATAAAATAATTTTCTATTTTGTTTATCATTTTTTTAAAGAATGCTTATTTTTGCCTTAAAGACAAAAACATAACAAAAAAATATTTAAGTAATAAAATTATAATCATGTATATAAATTTTCAGAGTTTATGAAAATTCTTCTTATAATTTAGATTATCCATAAGTAACCATATTATTATTATGTGATAATTGCAAACCACTTAAGACAGAAGATGGAATTTATTCTCTAGTTAAAATTTATATATAATTTTCTAAATGATAAATCAAGGACTAGGTTCCTGAAAAGTATTATTAAAATATTTATTTTTCTTTTATACATTCATTTTTTTTATTCTGTGGCATATTTTTGTTACCTCTGCAAGATTTGTTTGTTCTCAGAATTTTAATTATAGCAACCATTATTTAATTATTTTAAAATTATTTTAAACTTTATTTGGAATTCCTTTAACCTTTCAGCAGTGGGTTAGTCAGGTATGGTGCTATTTCTATGTAGTGGAGAATAAACATAGAAAATTTTTTAAAGTATTTTTCCACGCATTTTTTGTCTCATTACTATTTCAGAAAAAGATTTTGTAAACAGTTATGTCTAGTAAAGAAAAGTTTTTTTTTTATTGTTACATTACATAATTCCTTTTTTATGTGAATTTTTTTTGTGGTAGTTTTTGGCGAATATCCACAAAAGAATTTTCGGATATATCCATCCTTCACCACTGCCACATGATCGCCCTTGGCGGATATATCCTTCGGTCTGGTCACTGCTGAGTGGTTAACATTTTTATCTCAGATGTTACCAGAGGACTATTTTGGTAGTAGATTATCACTTATCACTAGCTTTTGCAATAATTAGTTATTTAGGGTGGTTTTCAATACTAATTTTCTATTTATTTACAGTTTTTATATGACAATAATTAAATCATAATTATATAGTAAATTCTCAATTTAAAAAACTACTTGGAAGAAGAGACATCCAATATTTTGCAATGTCTATTAACTTCAAATAGACAGTTGCTGATTTTTAGACAATTTGTTTCATACATAACACTTTAATACCTTCAATTCATTCTTTGTATACCAAATTTTCATTTTTAAACATTTTCATCTGACAAGGAATTTGAGTTATAGTACGATGGTGCTTTCTATCAGTTTCAGTTTTAATAACAGCAAAATCATTTGTGAAAATTATTTTTATTATCTATTTTCTGTTTACATATATAATATACAAAGTTATATGCAAATTTCTTCTCATTTTTTTTACAACTTTCTGACCACTTTTTTCTCAAGAAAATATGCATACTATTAATATACAACATTCAACTATGATTAGCTTTAGTTGGAATGTCTAATATTTTTACCAGTTTCCATTATTATTTTCATATATTTTAAACCCAAATGATTATTTTTAAAGATTTTATTGCTTGTGTAATATTGAAATTCATCCAATCATACTGTATTATTGCTTGTTGATTACTTTACTTGTCTACATTCTCTATCAGACTGATGAGGGACATAGTCCAAAATGCATTTTCAACAAACCAAAAGACAATAAAAGTACTTCTTAAACAGTAAGTGATTTGGCTCCTTGTATGATTTTATCCTGCTAGAGTATCACAATATTTGTGTATATACTTGTTATATATATATAATATATATATATAACATAAATCCAGACAATAGAAAATTACAAAAAAAATAAAATAACCACAATAAGAATGAATAAATAAAATGATTTTAAAATTCATTTAATTATATAAAATAGCACTATCTTAGTAANAATAATTTTCTATTTTGTTTATCATTTTTTTAAAGAATGCTTATTTTTGCCTTAAAGACAAAAACATAATAAAAAAATATTTAAGTAATAAAATTATAATCATGTATATAAATTTTCAGAGTTTATGAAAATTCTTCTTATAATTTAGATTATCCATAAGTAACCATATTATTATTATGTGATAATTGCAAACCACTTAAGACAGAAGATGGAATTTATTCTCTAGTTAAAATTTATATATAATTTTCTAAATGATAAATCAAGGACTAGGTTCCTGAAAAGTATTATTAAAATATTTATTTTTCTTTTATACATTCATTTTTTTTATTCTGTGGCATATTTTTGTTACCTCTGCAAGATTTGTTTGTTCTCAGAATTTTAATTATAGCAACCATTATTTAATTATTTTAAAATTATTTTAAACTTTATTTGGAATTCCTTTAACCTTTCAGCAGTGGGTTAGTCAGGTATGGTGCTATTTCTATGTAGTGGAGAATAAACATAGAAAATTTTTTAAAGTATTTTTCCACGCATTTTTTTTCTCATTACTATTTCAGAAAAAGATTTTGTAAACAGTTATGTCTAGTAAAGAAAAGTTTTTTTTTTATTGTTACATTACATAATTCCTTTTTTATGTGAATTTTTTTTGTGGTAGTTTTTGGCGAATATCCACAAAAGAATTTTCGGATATATCCATCCTTCACCACTGCCACATGATCGCCCTTGGCGGATATATCCTTCGGTCTGGTCACTGCTGAGTGGTTAACATTTTTATCTCAGATGTTACCAGAGGACTATTTTGGTAGTAGATTATCACTTATCACTAGCTTTTGCAATAATTAGTTATTTAGGGTGGTTTTCAATACTAATTTTCTATTTATTTACAGTTTTTATATGACAATAATTAAATCATAATTATATAGTAAATTCTCAATTTAAAAAACTACTTGGAAGAAGAGACATCCAATATTTTGCAATGTCTATTAACTTCAAATAGACAGTTGCTGATTTTTAGACAATTTGTTTCATACATAACACTTTAATACCTTCAATTCATTCTTTGTATACCAAATTTCCATTTTTAAACATTTTCATCTGACAAGGAATTTGAGTTATAGTACGATGGTGCTTTCTATCAGTTTCAGTTTTAATAACAGCAAAATCATTTGTGAAAATTATTTTTATTATCTATTTTCTGTTTACATATATAATATACAAAGTTACATGCAAATTTCTTCTCATTTTTTTTACAACTTTCTGACCACTTTTTTCTCAAGAAAATATGCATACTATTAATATACAACATTCAACTATGATTAGCTTTAGTTGGAATGTCTAATATTTTTACCAGTTTCCATTATTATTTTCATATATTTTGAACCCAAATGATTATTTTTAAAGATTTTATTGCTTGTGTAATATTGAAATTCATCCAATCATACTGTATTATTGCTTGTTGATTACTTTACTTGTCTACATTCTCTATCAGACTGATGAGGGACATAGTCCAAAATGCATTTTCAACAAACCAAAAGACAATAAAAGTACTTCTTAAACAGTAAGTGATTTGGCTCCTTGTATGATTTTATCCTGCTAGAGTATCACAATATTTGTGTATATACTTGTTATATATATATAATATATATATATAACATAAATCCAGACAATAGAAAATTACAAAAAAAATAAAATAACCACAATAAGAATGAATAAATAAAATGATTTTAAAATCCATTTAATTATATAAAATAGCACTATCTTAGTAATCATAGTTTTGTTTATTAAATTTGAAGTTTACTGAATTGAGATCCTTTCAATCAAGGATTTAATGTAAAATTATTTGCTACTATTATTTATTATTGCTTTTCATTAAATTTTTACATTAGATTACACTACATTACATTAAAAGAGTAGAGAGGTTGTCTGTATATGCACAGACTTTACCTCTAAGAAATTAGAAGTGTTGAAATTGAAATCAGAAGAGGAAGTGATAGTAAGTAGGGAAGGAAAGAAAATAGGGAAAGATTGAAGGGAAGTGTCGGATCATTGATCGTCTGCATCAGAATTGTTGAACAAGTAAAATACAGTGACAAGACAAAATACAGTGGTGCCTCGTATAACGTACTTAATCTGTTCCAGATGCATGTCCATTAAGTGAAAAGTCCGTTATACGAAATGCATTTTCCTATAGAAATACGTGTTAAAACATATAATTCGTTCTGCAGCATAAAATAACCGTATTGTACCATGAAAAAAATTAAAATGGAGCAGTCACCAATTATGCCGGGTAGTCAGATGTTAGGAGGAGGTGGAGGAACACTTACTTCACACATTCATACAGATACAGACTTTTTACACATTGCAGCAGGTCTCTTTTTATTATTTTTTAATCGGAGTCAGATTTAGGAGAGGCTACCGGAGCTTACAGCGTCAACTCCTCTTGTTCCATTCTTTGTTTTTTGGCAGTTTGCTTCTTGAAAAACATGTCCAAGGTAGTCTGTTTCTCTCTGTTCTTCAACGCCTGTCGGAAATGACGGGCAAGGGTGTCATTGTAGAGATCATTGATCCTGTTGGCCTCAGCTATGTTTGGATAGTGAGTGTTGGTAAACTCCTAAACCTCTCCTCATTTGACAAGGAAGTTTTTGTCAATTTTCACTCCTTCTGATGATTTCTTCTTTGTTTCAATTGAAATCACCTTTCTGTGTTTTTAGAAGCCATGATTTGAATAAATGTAAATACCCTGCACTGAGGTGATATACGTAATAAACAAGGGAGCAATCCGAATCCCAATGGGAGCTCTGTGCTTCAGATATACTAATAATATATTCTAATAATACTAATATATTATAAAAATAGCAGATTGTCATTGGCAACGGCAAAAGAGTGGAAACATCATTCGCACTTGTTCGCAGAAAGTCC